GAGAAGTGTTTGTCAGTTGCAGGAAAAGAAACTTTATTAAAGGCTGTGGCCCAGGCTATTCCTGTTTATGCGATGTCAGTATTCAAAATCCCTAAAGGAATTTGTAAAGACATGGCGACTGTAATCGCTAAATACTGGTGGGGACATGATGAAAACAGTAGAAAATGCACTGATTTGCATGGTGGAAACTTTGTTTTCCAAAGAGTCTAGGCGGGCTGGGTTACCGTGATTTTCATTCTTTCAACCTAGCAATGTTGTCTAAGCAAGTTTGGAGATTGTTATGCAACCCTGAATCATTATGTGCTAGGATTTTGAAGGCAAAATACTATCCAAACCAAAGTATCCTTGAAGCTGGACCAAAAAAGGGGTCCTCTTTCACTTGGCAAAGTATTTTTGCGGATATCCAAACCTTCAAAAGAGGATGTATTTGGAGAGTTGGAAACGGTGACTCCATTGATATATGGCGAGATCCATGGATCCCTACAAGCCCGGACAGAAAGGTAATGACGCCAAGAGGAAATATTGTTATTACAAAGGTGTCCGAATTAATTGATCCACAGTTGGGACAATGGGATGAAGATCTGGTTCGGTCTTTGTTTACTCACGTCGATGCAGCCAGAATTTTCAATATCCCGTTAAGCTTGAATGGATTTGATGATTTTGTTGCTTGGCATTATAATAGAAACAAAATGTTCTCGGTGAGATCGGCCTACCATGTTGAATGGAGACACCAATTCTGGAATTCCTACCAATATATGGCTTCATCTTCAAGAGGATCAAACCCCATATGGCAGAAAGTATGGAAAATATCTGTTCCGGGCAAAGTTAAAACTTTTGTGTGGAAGGTACTACATGGAGCTATTCCGGTTAAATCAGTTCTGGTGAATCGACACATAGGGACGGACAGCTTGTGTCCGATTTGTCATAAGTATGCAGAAGACTTGAAGCACCTTCTGTTTGATTGTTCCCCGGCGCAAGAGCTCTAGAAAATGTTACAACTAGATAAACTGATTGCGGATGCATGTGTTTATGATCGTGCAGGGTCTGCGATTCTGGAAGAGCCGCTGGACTCATCAACAGGCCACTATCCCGGTTTACCACAAGTAGGAATCGTGGAAGTTGTGGCGATCGCTACCTGGTACCTATGGTGGATCAGAAGATCGGTCACGCATAAGGAGAGAACTCCGCCAGCGGCAAGTTGGAAGCTTTCTATATTGGCTCTGTGCACAAACTTTACAAAATCAAGCCAGCGAGATGGGGATAGAAGCTTAATTAAATGGACCAAGCCAGATTCTAGTCATATTAAACTAAATGTGGATGGATCTTATCACAATGATGAAGGAGTTGGCTCGACGGGTGCAGTCCTGAGAGATATGTACGGGAATTTCCTTGGAGGCTCTTGCACTTTTTTCCCAAACGCCTCGTCGGCTTCTATGATAGAAGCCCAGGCTATGAAAGAAGGTCTAAAGCTAGCAGTATCATTAGGCTACAATAGAATTGTGGCAGAATCTGATTGTTTGGAAGTCGTTGAAGCTTGTGGAGAAGGAAATACTTGGTGGCATGAAGGAGTTGTGATCTTTGCAGATTGTGTTGATCTAGTTGTGGAGATAGGTTCCGTCCAATTTACTCATTGTCTTCGGGAAGCCAATGGCGTCGCGCATGAGATTGCTAAGTATAGCTACGAGAATCATTTATCTTGTAATTGGATAGATGACTCCCCCTCTTTCATTCATGAATCTCTTGTGAACGATGTAAGTGTGTTAAGTTAATCAATAAAGCAAGCCATGATGGCATTCCCTCAAACAAAAGTGTAGCATTGCTCAAGCTGGATATAGTGGCCGCGCAATTGAAGGCCAGAAACGCACGATGAACACAAGAAGAGGGTTTGGACGACCGTCGTCCTCCTCGTGCGGCTGTCCTGTAACCTCGGCTTGTTTGCGAGCTCAAGGCCCATGCGCAACCCTCATTCTCCGGCTTGTCCCAAATTAGCACGCGCTTATAAAATGACGAATCCTCATCTCCGGCTCCTATTTAGTCCAACTTGTAAGAAATAAACTAGACCCCTTCCATTGGTTGAGAGGCTCAAACCTCCTAAACACCTCCCATTTAATTGTAATTGTATGAATTGATCGGGAGGTGTTGATCGTCGTAAACCTACCATGAGCAAAGGCGCCATAATCGGCGCGTCGACCGTCCTGGTGGTGGCGGTCGTCGCCGCCGTCTGCGTCGTGTCCTTCAAAGAAGCTAAAAATGAGGAGGACAGCACGGAGCTGGCGACGTCGGTGAAGTCGATCAAGTCCTTCTGCCAGCCCGTGGACTACAAGGTGGCGTGCGAGAAGACGCTGGAGGAGACGGCCGGCAATGCGACGACCACCACGGAGCTGGCCAAGGCCATCTTCAAGGCCACCTCGGAGCGGATCGAGAAGGCCGTGCAGGAGTCCAGCCTGCTCAACGAGCTCAAACACGACCCTCGCACGTCGGGCGCGCTCAAGAACTGCAAGGAGATGCTCCACTACGCCATCGACGACCTCAAGACCACCTTCGACCAGCTCGGCGGCTTCGAGATGACCAACTTCAAGCACGCCATGGACGACCTCAAGACGTGGCTCACCTCCGCGCTCACGTACCAGGAGACCTGCCTTGACGGCTTCGCCAACACCACGACGGACGCCTCCGCCAAGATGCGCAAGGCGCTTAACGTCTCCCAGGAGCTGACGGAGAACATCCTGTCCATCGTGGACGAGTTCGGGGACACCATCGCCAACCTGGACCTGTCCATCTTCAGCCGGCGGCTGCTCGGGCACGACGGCGCGCCCAGGTGGATGTCGGACGCCAAGCGGAGGCTGCTGGAGGCCTCTCCCAGCGAGCCCGACTTCAAGCCGGACATGACGGTGGCGGCGGACGGCAGCGGCGACTACAAGACCATCAACGAGGCGCTGGCCAAGGTGCCGCTCAAGAGCGAGGACACGTACGTGATGCACGTCAAGGAGGGCACGTACAAAGAGTACGTCTCCGTGGCGCGCAACGTGACGAACCTCGTCATGATCGGCGACGGGGTCGGCAAGACGGTCATCACGGGGGACAAGAACTTCATGATGAACATCACCACCAAGGACACGGCCACCATGGAGGCGATCGGCAACGGCTTCTTCATGCGCGGGATCACGGTGGAGAACACGGCGGGCGCCAAGAACCACCAGGCCGTGGCGCTGAGGGTGCAGAGCGACCAGTCGGTGTTCTACGAGTGCCAGTTCGACGGGTACCAGGACACGCTCTACACGCACACCAGCCGGCAGTACTACCGCGACTGCACCGTGAGCGGCACCATCGACTTCATCTTCGGCAACGCGCAGGTGGTGTTCCAGAACTGCGTCCTCCAGGTGCGCAGGTGCATGGAGAACCAGCAGAACATCATCACGGCGCAGGGGCGCAAGGAGAGGCACTCGGCCGGCGGCATCGTCATCCACAACTGCACCATCGAGCCGCACCCGGAGTTCAAGGACCACATCGGCAGGCTCCGGACGTTCCTGGGGCGGCCGTGGAAGGAGCACTCCCGCACCCTCTACATCCAGTCCGAGATCGGCGAGCTCATCGACCCGCAGGGGTGGCTGCCGTGGCTCGGCGACTTCGCGCTCAGCACCTGCTACTACGCCGAGGTGGACAACCGGGGGCCGGGGGCCGACATGAGCAACCGCGTCACGTGGAAGGGCGTCAAGCACGTGACCTACCGGCAGGCGGAAGAGAAGTACACCGTGGAGAGGTTCATCCAGGGGAAGCTCTGGATCTCCAAGTACGGCGTGCCATTCATCCCGGGGTTGCTGCCGCAGGAGCAGGCCGCCCACACTGACACTGAGCGAAGCTAGCGTTCGTCCGGGGTCGAGGAAGATGGATTGTGGACAAGGGTTGTTCATTTTATGGATAGGAGGATCGGTTGTACGTACACGGTACACTGTTGTTGATGTATATCATCTGTGTATCGTACAGTATATGTGAGATGCATGTCAATGTAGAATGTAGAATGTATGTGCGTGTACACTGCTCTTTCGGACACCCATGCTCACAATTGGACAACTTACGACTCAAATAGAACAGGATTTAAGACGGTTTAATTGCGACATGTTGATCTTTTTGCTTGTGTTTATCTTTTTTCTGAACATCAGTACAGACGCAAGCGCACATACATACGCGCATACACTCACCTCTATGAATGCACACACGCATACCCTACCCCTATAAGCACCTTCATGAGACTGAGCCGGCATGTCATCTTGAAATTTACGAAGTCACCGAAGGCACCTCGTCGTCGACGGGGACGTCTCCTCCCACTAAAAGCGCATCGCCTGAAATTCTTAAATAAATCTAAGAATAATGCAAGCACCAGGATTTGAACCCTGGTGGGCTGGGGATACCACTCTCCCTCTAACCATCCAACCACAGGTTGGTTCGCTTGCTTGATCAACTCCTAGGCAAGCAGACCTAATTTTAACAGCCGGTATGGTAACAATGAACATGGCTCCCTCTTTAGTGAGATTATACCAGCAAATGCCTGAACCAAAATATGTCATTGCTATGGGAGCCTGTACTATTACAGGGGGAATGTTCAGTACGGATTCCTATGGATGTCTACTTGCCGGGCTGCCCACCTAAACCGGTGGCAGTTATAGATGCCCTAACAAAACTTCGTAAGAAGATATCGCGAGAAATAGTTGAGGATCGAACTCTGTCTCAAAATAAAAATAAATGTTTTACTACCAGTCACAAGCTTTATGTTAGGCGCAGTACTCATACAGGAACTTATGAGCAAGAATTGCTCTATCAATCACCATCTACATTAGATATATCTTCTGAAACTTTTTTCAAATCCAAAAGTTCAGTACCTTCCTACAAATTAGTGAATTAGGAGAGGGGCTCTTTTGTGTAGAAAAATAAAAAGCATGGCAATCTTTCAAACTTGCATCCGAAATGTGAAATATTTATACAAAGAGGGAGAGATGAAGACAATGCAGCAGGGTTGGTTATCTAATTGGCTAGTCAAACATGAGGTGGTTCATAGATCTTTGGGCTTTGAACACCAAGGAATAGAGACTTTACAAATAAAAGCAGGGAATTGGGATTTCATTGCTGTCATTTTATATGTATATGGTTACAATTATTTACGCTCCCAATGTGCTTATGATGTAGCACCCGGTGGATCTTTAGCTAGCGTGTATCATCTTACGAGAATACAATATGGTATAGATAATTCAGAAGAAGTCTGCATAAAAGTCTTTGCCCAAAAGGATAATCCTAGAATTCCGTCTATCTTCTGGATTTGGAGAAGTGCCGATTTTCAAGAACGCGAATCTTATGATATGGTGGGAATCTCTTATGATAATCATCCGCGCCTTAAACATATCCTAATGCCTGGAAGTTGGATAGGCTGGCCCTTACGTAAGGATTATATAACCCCCAATTTTTATGAAATACAAGATGCTCATTGAATGATAAGAAATTCATGCTCACTTATACAACACAACTCCAGATTTTATTCAAGTTAAGGAATATTTTTAGGTTCTTTTCCTAGATGAAACGGAATACCTATTTATAATTAATTCCTAATTATAAAAAAGCATTCCAGATAGACTGAGCAAAAAAAGGGTTTCATTTGGATTCCCCTATTTTGAAAATCGCATATTAATTTCCTTCATATGAACAGAAAAATAGGATGACTTAAAGAAGTTCTCTACCAGGAACTTTGTAGCACGCACATTACTTAGCACAACTAGGAAAATAAGATAAGATAAAGATAAGCAAGACTAAAAAAATATTCGTCGGAATAGCGGAGTACAAAATTAAGAAACGCAAAAAAATAAAGGGGAATCTCACCCCCTTCTTTATCATAAAGAAAAGATATATTTTAAAACTTCTTTAAAAAGAAAAAGAAGTGCCTCTATATTTATATTATAGATTTATCCACTTAGATGAATAAATATTATTAATGAATATGTATCACAATCCATCTCGAGGTATTTGGATCAATACCTATTCGGTGGATCTTTTTTTTCTCTGCCAGGAACCAGATTTAAACTGGTGACACGAGGATTTTCAGTCCTCTGCTCTACCAACTGAGCTATTCTAACCTTTTCTTGTGCATCATCCTAGTAGAGTATTTGTATCTATGTCAATTAAAAGGACTAAAAAT